ACCCCAACCTGGCAGCCTCCAGCCTCAGCTCCAGGCTGATCATTGTCATCTCCTGGAACCAGCGAGTCAAGGGAAATGACCTTGTCTACTGGTTTTGTGTGTGTGTGTGTGTGTGTGTGTGTGTGTGTGTGTGTGTGTGTGTGTGACAGGCTAGCACAGCGGAAGTGGAACCACATTACTACTCCATGAGGGACTTCAGCCCCCAGCTCCCCCCCACACTGGAAGAGGTGTCCTATCCCCAAGGTGAGTCATGACCACTCCCCATTTCCAGGTACTCTGACATCTGAACTGGGCCCTCTGATAGCCTTCCTTCCAAGCTACGTCAGTTACTTTTCTGTATTACTGTGACCAAAATACCCCAGAGAACAGCCTGAGGAGGCCAGATTTCTATTGCCTCACTTCAGAGGGTTCTATCCATGGCTGCTTGGCTACAAGCTTGTGTGGCCAGGACGGCTGCTCATTTCATGGTGGACAGGAAGCAGAGTGAACCAGACAGGAAGGTGACCAGAGGCAAGAGACTCCCCACCCCAAGGACACATCCCAGGGACCTACTTTGTTCAGCTAGCCACACCCTCCACTGAAGTTTCCAGAACCTCCCAGGCCTCTAGCAGTGGCTTGAACCCCCAACATGTTAGCCTTTGAGGGAGATATTTTCCCATCCTAACCCTAATGTCTCCCAACTCCAGCCTTCACAGGTACTGAAGATGAAGTGGCCTTCCCTGGACACCTGTATGATGAGGTGGAGAGAGCCTATGGCCCGCCTGGGGTCTGGGGACCCCTCTATGACGAAGTCCAAATGGTGAGGAGATTCTTATCAGCAGGTTGTCTAGGCTGGAAGCCCACCTCCTACGGTGTGTCAGTTAGGGTACGCCACTGTGACAAAGAGGCCCAGCCTCGATGCAGTGCCAGGAAGAGCTACATGATACACCCTGACCCAGGAATGGTGGCACATGCCAGAGAGGAGGAGGAAGGGGGGTGAGTTCAAAGCCAGCCTTGTCTACATAGTGAGATTCTGTCTCCTCCAAGTGAAAAATGAGATCTTTCCTCTCACATAGCTGCCCAAGTGGAGTCCTGCTGTGCCTGGTGATTTAGAACCCAGAGTTCTCTCCCTGTATTCCCGCCATTTTCCAACACACCCATTGCTGGGGTCTGCAGGCATAGGTCAGTTTACCAAGGGGATGGGAGGATCAATCAGCTAGAGGAGGACAGAGAAAGAAGGTGCCAGAGAGACCCAGAAATGGTCACCTGTCCCTCTGCCCTCCTCTGATCGACGGGAACATGATCCCAAGGCTCCGTCTAGCCACAGGCTCTGGGAGTTGTTGTCTAAAGTTCTGCCACTGTTGGAGAAGGAAGGGATATGTTGCCTTAGGTAAATAAGCTGTGCGAGAGAAAGAGTTTTTAAAAACTAGTTTATTTATTGTCATGTGTGCATGCACGGCGTACATGTGAATGTCAGAGGACAGTTTTGTGGAAAGCTTTGTGTGGGTTCTGGGGAATCAAACTCATGCCACCAGACTTTCATGGCATGTGCCTTCGCCTGCTGAGCCAACTTGCTCCTCTGAGGAAGAATTTTTTGATCCACTCAGCTGAAAAGCTACATGCTAGAATCATCTATGGTTACAACAGGACTCAGAATTTTTCCCTGTTTCCTGTAAGAGAGCCAGCTTTCCATCCTGTTAGATTTAAAATCTTCAAAGAAAGAGAATGTCTCTTTTCCAAGAAATTCCCAATGCACGGTGCTGGCACACACTGATCCACCTTTGGCCAGATGCATTTGTTGAACCAACCGCTGAGACACGATAGAATATATCATTTGGTTTGGAGATTTTGTTTTGAGATAGGACTTATACAACCCAAACTGGACTCAAGCTTACTATGTAGCTGAAGATGACTTTGAACTCCTGATTGCCCTGTCTTCATCTCCCAAGTGCTGGCATTACCTGTGTGAGCCACCACATCTAGCACATTGTTCCATTTGGATAAGCCTGGGTTGGCGTTCATCTACGGGGCCAGAGGTTACGGGCCAGCACTGTTCAATACGATGGGCTGAGAGTGGGAGAGGGTAGAGAGCCCAGAGTGAGTGAGGACGGTGGCTGGGCAGGTACCAACGATGGACAGGCACCTCCATCTCCCTCCCACCCACTGCATCATGCCAAGGGAGATGAGAAACATGCCTAACGTTCAAACTGAGCATGGTGGTACCTGCTCGTCTTCCCACACTCAAGAGGACTAGGAGTTCAAAGGCAGCCTGGGCTACATATCAAGACTCTGCCTCAAAAAAAAATCCACCAAAACAAAACAAAAAGCCAGACTCTCCTCTGAGCCTGACCAATACCCCAGCATCTCTGGGCCGAGGATTTCCCTTGGTGTCAACCCAAGGCGTGGACATAAGTTCTACTGTCCCAGCTCGGATGACAGGGCTGCTGAAGCGCTGTCCGTGGTGCTGGACCGTGTGTTTCCTGGGAAACGCTGGTGGAATCCTCGGGGTGTCTGCACAGGGTCCAAAGAATGAATATTTTGGGCTTTGGGGGACGTATGGCCTTCCTCTAAGCTATTCACCGCTGTCACAGGGTAGAAGTAGTCACAGCTCATGTGTATATCAACGCACCAGGCTGTATTCCAAGGAGACTTTATATTTGGGTGTTCAAAGTTGAATTCTAGTTTGTGTTTGTTTATTTTGTTTTGGTTTTGAGGGTTTTTTTGTTGTTGTTTTGTTTTTTGAGACAGGTTTTCTCTGTGTAACAGCCCTGGCTGTCCTGGAACTCACCCTGTAGACCAGGCTGGTCTTGAACTCCCAGAGATCCTCCTGCCTCTGTCTCCAGAGTGCTGGGATTAAAGGCATGTGTCATCACCTCTCAGTAAATTCTAGTTAATTTTTTCTAATTAATTTTTATACAGCACAAATACTATCATTCTCTGATTTTTCCTGACAATTTATAATTATCAACCATCTGCAGCTCTTGATGCAGGTGAGAGCCTCGTGTTTACCTCGTGTTTGCCTCGTGTTTGCTCTGGGGTTTGCTGAACTACACATGCCTTTTCCCTGAGTCCTAGAACAGAGCACTCCCCCAGGAAGGGCCACCCTCTATGACCTTCCCCCACTTAATTGATTATATGTGTACATGTATGTGCATGTGTGTGTGTTGGTCAGAGGGGAGCTGGTAGAGGTTGGTTCTCTCCTCCCACCATGAGTCCTGAGGGTTGAACGTGGGTTGTCAGCTTGGTGGCAAGTGTCTTTGCTTTCTGAGCCATCTCACAGTTTCATACTTTAAAAAAAAAATCCAGCTTCTCACTGTATATCAAAGACTGGCCTTAGACTGGCAATCCCCCTGCCACAGCTTCAGAGAGTGCTAGGATCACAGTTGTGTGTCACCGCACTGGACTGTCTTTCATTTTGATGGGGAAATGTATTAGGGGCTATGAGACAAACAGAGGTGAGACTCATCCTGAGATGCCAAAGCTGACATCATGAGGGTTGTACTTATTAGTCACTTTATTATTATTTATCGATCTATTTCTATTATTTCTATTATTTATTTATTTATTTATTTATTTATTTATTTATTTATTTATTTATTTATTTATTTAAGCAAGGTCTTTCTCATTCTGTAGTCCAGGTTGACCTTGAACTAATGACAATTCTCCTGCCATGACTTTCAAAATATTGGGATTACAGGCTTGAGCCACCACATCTGGCTCTCAGCTATCATTATTATTATCATTATTATCATTATTATTATCATCATCATCATCATCATTATTACTGGGTATTATTGTTTTGCTCTGTGTTGTCTATCTATCTATTCATTTATCTATTTATCTATCTCACTATGCAGAGGCCAATGTAGCTCTTAACTCAAAATCCTCCTGCCTCAGACTCCTGGGTGATAAGATTTATAGGCAGATGCTACCATACCCAGCTTTAAACCTCAATTATAGAGAATACCCCACCCACACAGAGAAGTGATTATAATGAACCATTTTCATGAACTCCTGTCTGCTTATCTTCTAGCTTCAACAGAATCCACCCTCACCCCACCTTGACTGTTCTCAAATTCCACTTTCAGACAGATAGACAGATAGAGAACCTTTTTGAGGTAGGGTGGGTCCTTGTTATGTAGCCCTGGCTAGCCTAGAAGTCACTATGTAGACCAGGCTCTCTTCAAACTAAAAGCAAGAGCCTCTAGGACACTAGAATCACAAGTATGATCCACAATGGCTTATTTATAATGGTTTCTGGCTTCATTTTGGTTTCAGCAGCATGGGGGGGGGCATTGCCCAGAAAGCCTTGTGCATGGCAAGCAAGTGTGCTAAACCATCGGGCTTAAAAGGAATCTCACAGGGATGTGTGTCCCCCAGAACTGCAGTGATATCCCACATTGCGTCTCTCTGTGGCTCTGACTCCACTTTCTTGCCTGTTAGGACCCCTATGACCTTCGCTGGCCTGAGGTCAAGTATGAAGATCTGAGAGGACTCTATGAGCAGGTGGCAGAAGACTTAGGTGCTGCGGAACCTAACTCTCTACCCTTTGAGCTGAGGGGACATCTGGTCTGAGACTCTTCGTGATACCCATTTCCGACAGCCACGGTATGTCTTGCTCCAGTGGCCCTGTGCATTCCTGTCCTGCTGAGCTCATTCAGTGAGCCCTGTGTGGTGCTAACACATGGTTACTTTTCAGGGGAAGACATGAAGGAAGGCGTGTGAGTGACAAGAAGATTCAAGTTGACATCTGGGATAAGCAAGGCTCCTTTTATAGGAATGAAACTTCTCCGAAGGAACAGAGCCACTGGAAATGACATCTGAACAATGAGAATCTATTTTAAGAATCATTATACTTTTCAAAAGTAAAAATTTTAGAAGTAGGAAAGACCTATTAAAATCCCATTCAGAGCCTAGGGATGTGCTCAGTGGGAGGGTGTGTGCTTTGGCGTGTGTGAGGTTCTGGGTTGCAGGCTGCAGCCAGCCTTGGCGTTACACACACAAGGCTGGGCATGGCGGGCCACCCCTATCATTCTGGCTCCGCAGGATGCTGGGGCAAGAGAAACACAAGGTCAAAGTCAGCCTGGGTCATTGAAAGAATAGGGGCTGGAGAGATGGCCCGGGGAGTCAGAGCTCTAATGGCAGCTAATGCTCTGAGGACCTGAGCTTGGTTCCCAGCACCCACATCAGGTGACTCACAATCGTGTCCCTCCAGCTCTAGGGAATCTGATGTTTTCTTCTGACCTCCATGGCACCTGCACTCATGTGTACATACCCACATATAGACACATACATATACACACAACTAGAAATAAAATAAATCCAATCTGTGTGGTGATCCACATCTTTAATTCTAGCAATTGAGAAGCAGAGGCAGGCCAGGCGGTGGTGGCACATGCCTTTAATCCTAGCACTTGGGAGGCAGAAGCAGGTGGACTTTGGTGAGTTCTAGACCAGCCTGGTCTATAGAACGAGATCCAGGAAAGGCACAAAGCTACACAGAGAAACACTGTCTCAAAAAATAAAAAGAAGAAGAAGAAGAAGAAGAAGAAGAAGAAGAAGAAGAAGAAGAAGAAGAAGAAGAAGAAGAAGAAGAGGCAGAAGGGTCTCTATAAGTTTGATGCTCACTACTTAGTGAGTTGCAAGCTACATAGTGAAAACTTAACTCAAAACAAACAATACTTTTAAAAGCTTCAAAATTAAGAAGTGTGCTGTGGAGGTAGCTGCATGATAGAGCCCCTGCCTAGAATCCCCCAGTGAGGGGCTGGGGTGTGGCTCAGTG